CATCGAGGACACCTCCCTCTGCCCTGTGTACTTGGCTCCAAGGACTGTCTACACCCCGAGGTAGAGCCCTTGAGCCGTTCCACTTCCACGAGCGGACGAGGGTGCCAAGACTCGAGATAAAGACCCCCCAGGAGTGAGAGGCCGGGGAGCGACCCGGAAGCCGCCGGCGTCCGCACCGACGTCGTACCTCAATATACTCTTCCTCGTCCAAGACCCGCTGCTTGCTCGTCGCAGTTCCAGCCTCCCGCGCCGCGCGCTTCCTCGGGGGCCCGGACGGAGTTGGGAGCAAAAGAGACCGCGGCGACGCTCCCGGCGTCTCCATCACTCTCCCAGGACCGCTCGGCTGCGCAAGTGCGTCATCAGGCTAGGGGGCGGGGCCGTATTATTTGCGCAGGCGCCTTCCTCAACCCACCAATGGGGAAGCTGTGCGCTGAGAACGCCTGCCCGCGCTCCGAAATGACGTCACTCGGAGCGCTACGCCTTATGGGAGTTGTAGTCTTCATTCCGCCCTGTTCTGTTGATGTGTGTCTGGACTGTGGACGCGAGGGTGCGCTGTGGTACGGGATATGGGACGTGTCCTAACAGCGAGAAATTCCGGCACTGGGGCACCGAAAGGTGATTGGAATTCCAATTTCTCGCAAGTACTCCCTGCGCATGTGCCGATATTATTAATAAAAACACACTCCAGAAAATTTGGTTATATATGCGTTTCAAACTTTATGCAAGAATCATAAGACAATTCTTTCTTGAATTATTTAATAAAAGATAAAACAAAGAACAAGACCATGATTCAATAAAGAGATAGGCCCCCCGGACCAGCAGTTGGCGTAATGGCTATGTCACTAGACTCTCATGTGGTTGACCGCGGTTCAAGTCCCGGACCAGTGGCTTAAACTCACGCTGGGTACATGTGTGTGCCCGAGAGGAGATCCTAAGATCCCGAGAGGAGAATGGAGGAGAAAGAGTTGCGTGCCCAAGAACCCGAGAGGAGAATAGAGGAAAAGGGATTGCGGCGTGGCCAACCCTGGGCGGGGGGAGAGGGAAGGTGATTTCTCTCTTTCTGTCTCTCTGTTTCTGTCTGTCTTTCTGGCGACCGCACATGCCCTATAGAAAAAAGAAACTCTCCAAAAAATAATAATAATAATAATAATTAGGTCCCTGAATGCCAGTGGGCTTCAAGAGGGCTATTTTGCCCTGAAACATATCAGAAAGTTGCCTAAGCTTTGCTTCAGAAATTTCTTCCCCAAAAGAGGTTGCATATTATGTTTAAAAAAAATTCTGGGTCATTATATGTTGTATGCCTGTATTGGAAAACCACATTGTGTCCCAGAAATGTGTATAACTCTTATATGTTGATTAAAATGTATAGTTAAAAATAAAACAAAACTTGGGACCAGCAGGTGGCATGGTGGCTAAGGTGCTGGACACTCCCAAATGGCCAACCACAGTTCGAGTCTCGGACCTGGTGGCTTCCTTTCTCACTTTCCCTCTCTTTCTCTGTGTGTCTCTCTCTGGCCAAATAATAATAATAATAATAATAGAATAAATAAATCAAATTAAATAAATAATTCTTTAACTGCTAGACGCTAGTTGGATCATTCCGAAACCAAAATGTAGAATTGGAGCCGTAGCAATGTAAGAAAAACGTACTTGAAGAATCTTGACTTCCTGAGAGGAAGTCAGGGAAGTTGCCCCAGGACAGATCCCAAAGACAAGTGAACAGGCAAGTCTGCCCAGTGGTGGGAGGGAGCAAGCCAAGATCCGAAGTCCTTAGGATACATCGACTGCCGCAAGATGGCGCTAGAGGGGCAGAGGCAGGCTGCGGGTGGTTGGGTGGTGGGGGCAAGCTTGGTCTATTCTGAATTGAACTGGGGAGGGGTGCAGATGAGCAAGAGTGGAGACAGGTGCAGTGTGGTCCGGGCGAGGGGTGATGGTGGCTTAGATCTGGTTGGTACAGTGGGAGCTGGCGAGAAATCAATACCAAGATTAACTGGTACATTTACTTAGCGATAAAATCGACCGGCTGTTGCCTGGGTATGGCAGGTGAAGGTGGAGGAGTCAGGTGATTGCTAGCTCTGATTCCTGCAGCTGGTTTGCAGAGAGGAGCTCACCACAGCCAAAGCGAGGAGCCTATGGCCTAGAGGACAATTGGCCACGAATGTCTAGCTTGGGGAGAAGCCTGTGCTGGAATGGTAAACATGGCTGAGACAGGAATGAGCCGGAGGGTGGAAGAAACTAACCAGAGAGAATGGAAATGAGAAGGGACTACCTGGGACCGAGCCTCAAGACCACTTGTGTATGGGTCAGCCGTGACGTCAGCCTGCCCAAGAGCAGCTAAACAGGAAAGAGAACTGAGGACAGCGACATAGCCTCTGATCCCTTGAAGGTGAGGGCTCAGGCGAGTGCTGATCATGGCTGTCCTGCATGATGACACATGGCCATTCAGCAGAGGAGGATGAGAAGCCTGGGAGCCCTGGGACAGGTGTGTTCCAGCCTGCAGGGGAGCTGGCCAGGACAGTCAGGCTCACAGGCACATGGTGTAGTCTCCCAGGGCAACTCCGGGGTTCCAGGAGAGCTTTGCCACACCTAGAAGCATGCGTCCTGGGAGTGGAGGCGAGAGCCAGCGTGTCCTGGAGGGCAGCCCTGGCGAGGGGGACAGTGTTATCTGAACTGACCAGCCTTGGAGGGGCCCAGCAGCTGCAGCGCTGGCTTTTCTAGACAGAGGAGTCTCTTGCAGACACTGCTCCCCCCGCCCCATTCTCTCCAGCCAGATGAAGGGGGTGCAGTGTCTTGGCCTCACTGTATGGGTCTGCCGGGGGGAGTCGAGCCTTGTTTGCAGGCTAAGGCCAGCATGATGGAGAGAGCACAGCCGTTTTTCAAGGCAGTGGGGAAGGGCAGCAGCCTGCTCCTGCCCCATCTAGGATGGGAGGGACTGATGCAGTCAGGGATGGCAGAGCCCATCCGGTGAAAATCCCCAGGGAAGGGAGCCAAAGACCCCCACCCTCGAGGCAGGACAGCAGTGCTGCAGGCCAGGGCAGGTGCCAGCATGCCAAGCTGCCATCTGTGGGGGGCAGTCTGCTCTGCTGGGCGTACTCAGGCCCAGGGACTGAGGACTCACTGGGCTGTGCTCCCCCAAAACACGCCAGCCCCCCACTGCCTGGGAAGGAAGGGGGGGGCAGTTCCCCATGTGGTGCAGACTTGGGACTCTGGACCGCTTTGGTGACACGTGTATGTGCTGGTTTATTTCCTAGTATCGGCACCTGGTCCAAAGATGAAGAGGCCGGGGAGGGGACTTTGGCAGACCTGGCTGACCCTTATTCTCCGGTCTGTACACCAAGGCCCAGCCCAGGACCAGCTAGGCGGCAGCAGCCCCAGAACAACACTGACACTGCCCGCTCTGTCCCGGAGGGCTGAAAGCCAAACCTAGGAGGGCCTACGTCCACAGGGAGGAGAAGAGGGGGCCAGTGAGGGGAGGTGAGGAGGGAGGCTCCGCTGGGGAGAGGCCCAGGGCTGACAAGGGAGGTTCCTGGTCCTTATGCTCTAGGGCAGGGATGCAGTTGAAGAAGGTGACCTGCTCTGTACCCTGCCCCATCCCCGAAGAAATCACAGCCCTCCTGCCTGATGGCAAGGGGGGCGGGAAAGGTCACCCAGGTGTTCGGTACCCCCTCCTTTCACAGGGCGGGCGGCACAGGGACACACACGCACCCCTGCACCGGCTCCAGAAGGCAGGAAGCCGTGAAGACTGGGGAAGAGGCTGGTGTCTCCTCCCAAGGTCGCCTGGGAAGCTCTGTCCTCTCTCCCTGCTGGCCCCAAAGGTGGTCCAAGTAGAGGAATAGTTTCTAGCGCCATCAGCAGGTCTCCTTGGGGGGCTTCTTGGCTCCAGGCAGGAGCCTTGCAGACGCTGACGCGCGTTTCTGGTGTCGCCACTTGGCCCGGCGATTCTTGAACCAGACCTGAGGAGGAGCGACTGTTCAGGGCCAGTCCCGGAACCCGCGTGCCACTGGACTCCTGAGGGGCCCGTAGGGGGACTGAGTTGGGGGTTTCACGACCAGGGTGTAGGTGTTCGGGGACCGCGCGACACTTTCCCGGCGAGGCGACGTTTTCCCGATTCCGCTGCAGATAGGGACGGTGGCTTGGGACGACGGGCAGGAACCCTTTCCCACCCGCCCCAGCTCAGCGTCAGTGACCAAAACGGCTCCTGCAGCTTTGAGCTCTTGCGAACTTCCCTAACGCTGGAACAGGAACGCGTACCTCTCACCATCCGGAAAGAAAGAAAAGTTGAAAACAAAGGAAAAGAAAACGAGCATTTTTTTTCCCCCCTGGAATTCCAGCGACTCCTCCTCTCAAGTGCCGGC